TGTACTACATCATTCTGACATCACCTTATGATGTTACTTACACCAGGACAAAACCTTGTACTACCGTACATCTGACATCACCAAAAATCCATAAGTTTTTTTTTAACATCATTCTAGCTTGAGTATTTGTATTTGGGAAACTAACTAACTACGGTAGAGAACATGCCAAGAATAATATATATTCTTTCCCAAAAGGGAAATTTTAATCATGACAAATGATAATAATTACAGTAGCTATTGTAATCACATCATGAGTAAAAACATTTTGGGCTTTATTTTAATTGCCTTAATGTCATTGACAACAAATTCAATGGTAGTTTTCACCTCAAAAAATACACAAAAAGAAGAAGTCAATGGCAGAACACAGAAAGTCTTTAACCCTCCAAGATTTGTTTGCAAAATCAATTATGCCCATAGTCCTCTGGGTAACACCATTGCATGATGTAAACTAAGATATTTGGAAATAGTCCCTTACATAACATGAAGCAACATACCATATTTTGACACTCAACTCTTGTGTTATAGTACACACCAGCTCCAATGTTATCCTGTATACTAGCTATGGAATCACTCCCACAATGTCGCAGCATGGAATAATGATGCAAGTTCTGGTGGAGGTTTGCTGCATGCCACTCGGAAGGATCATCAACCACAAATATCAAATCAATCATATTCTTCTATAAATAGAAAAAAAATTGTTGTATAAACAGACTTCTCGAGTTCATAAAATGCATTTCCGTAACTGTGTCTTCAGAATTCCGTAATAAATGAAAACTTTCCATAGCACCTAATAATTTGCCTTGAGTACAAGATATGGGTTGCTTAAAATTGCAGGTACATCTGTTGAATTTCAAACAAACTGGACAGGATGCAGATTTATTCTGGACAATTTGTCCAACTTTCAAATTGGGTCTAATTGTTCTGAAAATGGGTCTGATCATCTTTCGCTCGATCAGATTGGGCCTGATTGTTTGTAATTTGATGTGGAATTTCAAACAAACGGAACAGGATGAAGATTTATGGGCAAAGTATGAGTTGTCTAGAGACAATGTTGCCAAATACCATGATGGAAAAGTAATTTGTTTTGGACTTTAGACCTACCGGTATATATTTATGGGTCTAGGCCTTTGATAAATTTCCATAGATGTTATCTATTTCCATACATTCATAATTAGGTAAAATGTCCATAGCAACTAGCAGGGGAAGATTTAGGTGGGGGGGCCCCCCCCCTTTTGGGAGGGACCCACCTTTTGGGAGGAAAAAAAAAGGGGAAAAAAAAAAAGAAAAAAAGAAAGAAAAAGAAAAATATGATAGCCCACAATGCCTCAAATGTTATTTTCGGGCGTCTAGAACGCAAAATTTTCGCCAGACCCCCTAGGACATTATTGTCTCGATCGGCCCAAATTTCGGCCCCCCCCCCCCCCCGAACATCTCTGGATCCGCCCCTGACTAGGTCTAACTATGGAAATTCTGTAGTACTTGAGAAGTCTGTACATTGTTGCATACTAGCAGTGTGTACAATATTTTGTTTCATTGCATGCCTCAACATAATACCATTTTTTAATTGGTTAAAAGATGGTAGACTGTTCCATTCAAAAGAAAGGTGTACTTTCAAACTCACTCTATTTTTGTTCATAAAATTTCAAATGACAAGGGTCTATATTCAGTGTTATAAAACAAATAATCAATGTTTCTTATTTGTGCAAAGGAAAAAAATATTGATAGTAATTGTTACTGTCGTGATGGAATAATAGACAATAACTGGATTTGCGTCAGGAGACTCATGTATAGGTGTAATTTTGCCCTACCTGACGTGGAAATGTACCGAATACTCAGTACATTTGAAAACAACTGCGAAAAAATCGCAAGTTGTTCATGGGTGGGACTCGAACCCACGATCTCCAGATCACTAGCCTGGCATCATAACTCTAGACCACCGAGCTTGCGTCTGATGGAGGCACAATTCGAGTCCCACCCGAGAACAACTTGCGATTTTTTTCGCAGTTGTTTTCAAATGAAAAAAATATTGTTACAAGTTGAAAGATTTTTTTACTCAATAAAAATATTCTTCCCATTACATTCTTTATTTTGTAAACTACTGTAGTATAGTATCTACAGTGGTATATATTACAATTTATTTTACTTCAAAGACAGGTAGTGGTAATCAGGTAGGTGAGGGTGAGGGTTGGGTAAACAGGTTAATTATAAGTTAATAAATGTGTGGTTGAATGAGGCCTGATGATATATGACAGGCCTCATTGAACTAGAAATTATCCTGCATCTTAAAATTAGAGTGATTAAATTTTGGAACTACTTTTCTTTTTAAAAAGATATATCGTATATAGGGCGACCTACGTATAAGACAACCTCCTCTCCCTCCCATTTCATCATCAGAATTCTTGCTTTTAATGATCTTGATACTGCATCTCTAGCTGTCTAAAATCGGAGCAAAATGCAAGGCTAGTCTTCCAAAAAAAATACCATTTTATGAGTTTTTAAATGTTCATCAAAATCTTATTTCCTCTTAGCTTCATTGCATTAGTAAATTTGTATGTTACGGACGAATATGACTTAATAAATCTAAAATTTGTATGTCAGGGCTTGTCAAATTTGTATGACAACCCCCTGTTTTTTTATTATAAATTACTATTTTAAGCCTTGTTTTATACGCGACTATATACAGTACTTTTCTTTTTAAACTGCCCTGATTTTGTATGCACACAATGGAACATTTAAAAAAAATGCTGCCACTAGATAAGGGGCGTCCTATTAAAATTTGAATGGAGTTCGAAACTCCAACATACACACAGCATACTAGCCTGGGGTTCCAGGCTCTAATTTTTGGTTAATCACTCTTTATTGCACTTAGTGCGCGCAATACCTAATTTAATTTGCATGCCATACTCAATTTATTTTTTATTTTTCTGATTCCGTCTCTAAATTCAAACATTATCGTTGGTGTCGGTGTCCGAATACAGGGGCGAATCTAGGTTCACATTTAGGGTGGAGGGGTCAGACCTTTTTTCATAAAAACACCAAAAAAAGGGGGGATTCGGGAAAATTTTGATTCTTAGATGGCGGGAAATGAGCTTTTCAGGCTTCTGAGGTGTCTTTTAATTAGCCTGGCGCGAGAATTAGCATAATGAACCGTAACCAAGAAACGAGTTTGGAAACATTGGGCTCGAAACGTACGCTCCCTCACATCGTACGTTAAATTGAATGCTGATTGGTCTTTTTTTTTTTACCGGAAGTCAATGCAAGACCCCCCGCAGCGATTAAAGCCCGGCTTAGAAAAGTTCAACCTGGTGGCATGCCAGGCCTAGTTACTATAGGAACACAGCCCGGCTTGAGATGAATTCGATCCAACTCGGCCACAAGTCAACTCGGCCACAAATCAACTCGGCCACAAAAAGTTTGGCTGCAGTCAACTCGGCCACAACTCAACTCGGCCACAAGTCAACTCGGCCACAATTATTATTATTGCTGTTATTATTGGTGTCATTGTTGTTATTATTATTGTTGTTTTTATTACCGTTAGTTTTAATATTAATTATTAGTCTTAGCATAATAACATTATGTATTGTTTACATTTTTGCTGATATTATTATTGTTACCATATGAATAATAAAAAAATTCTCGATTTTTTTAATTCATATTATTATTATATATTAGTCTTTATAGTATTGTTTTATGTCAGTGTTTTAATGTGAACAAAATTAAAGATTAATATATGTGTTTTTCTTAATTATTAAGATTGCTTAAATTGTTAATGTTACAATTGTCAATGTTACAATTGTCAGATTTTATTCCATTCATAATTGGCGGGTTTTCTCTGTTGAATAAGAGTACAGTGTGAAGAAATGTATACAACGATCTCACGACGATGAGACGATGATCAGAATTTTACTAAAATATACTGTGTACTTCATTTTAATCATATTGAAGAAAAAGGATGCAGAAACTGGAATATTTACATTTCATTTTAATTATAAATACGGTAACTTGTGGCCGAGTTAACTTGTGGCCGAGTTGACTTGTGGCCGAGTTGACTACAGGCGAACTTTTTGTGGCCGAGTTGACTGTGGCCGAGTTGACTTGTGGCCGAGTTGACCTGCTTCCCTTGAGATAAGCCACCTAGTTCAGACTGGCACGTGGATAAACCCGGTGAGTTGAGCCGGCTTTATCCACCTAGTCTGAACTACTACTACTACTACTACTCTAGGCCTCAGTCTATGAGGCCAGCCAGGCAGTACTGTATGAAAGCTGTTAAAATCAGCAGCGGCACTCACGGAATCGATATTATTCTGCTGTTTAAAAACAGCTGAACCATATGCAAATGCGTAGTTGATACCAGCTGGAAAAGTAGAGAGTATCTTGTGTAAAATGTTATGCCTACCGGCACGGCTGAGGGTTCCCATTGTAATTTGACGCACGCCTCCACAAAAAAACAACATTGGGCGTATTCGACTAGTTCATTTCGTTGACTACGAATTTTCGTTCAGTATTACCGTATTTTCATTCGATAAAACTGGATGAAAATATTTATTTTTACGAAAAACTCATACTGTCACAAAGCAATTTTGATTACACAGCCTGTATCGCGTCGCGGTAACTATGCAGCCATTTTGTTTTGTCGAGTATTTATAAGTTTTCTATTCGACTGGCCGTCTTCATTATAGGGTTATAGCATGGAGGTATTATTGAATAATAATAATAATACAGTACCTCCATGGTTATAGTAGGATTTTAGCGCTGCTGCAGCCAGGTGAGCGTGATTTAACCTCCATGGTTTAACGAAGAACGACCAGTCGAATACGGCCATTCACGCGTGAATATCGGCGAGACGGAAGTAGGAGCTACCATGGAGCATGCATGGAGCTACCACATGGCGACATCCACCACTAGGTGAAAATAAGATTTGTTCAATACAATCAGTGGCGGCGCTACGGTCAGTACGGGGGAAAAGGGGAATTTTCTCCCGATAATTTTTCCCCTTCCTCCGTTCCACCACCACTCCCAGTTTCGCCGGGAAAGATAACAAAATTAATTGCTCCCATCGGTCTGTCTGTCATTTCACGGCCGCTGGCCACTTTAAAACAATGCATAACAAACTTTCTACTTTCATTGTATCAATTTGAATGAATGGATACTAAATTAATTAATTAATTAATAATTTAATAAAATAATTTAATAATAATTCTAAATTTTCTCCTAGCAATACACGATTTGTGTTTTGTCATTTTGTGTTGGTGGCATCAAGCTTATTAAAGAATCAGACCAGCTGGAAAAGTCTATAGAAAGCATCTTTTGTAGAAATTATGCTTAATAATAATAATAATAATAATAATAATAATAATAATAATAATAAATATTATTATTATTATTATTATTATTATTATTATTATTATTAATTTATTTTTGTATAGCGCTAATAAACAATAAATCATTCTCACAGCGCTTTACAGAAAAACTATACAGTAGTATTAGAACGTTCATCAATCCTAGCCATCTTAGGTTATTTTTGTAGTTGTTTGTTATTTCTGTTGTATTGTAGTAAATTGTGGTAAATTGTATTGTGGTAAACTTTTTAGGTTCAATAAAGAAATGAATGAAAAGAAGAAGACCTAGTAGCGAATTTTCTTAACGTAGGATAGTTTGGTACAATCTTATGAATTATTCATATTCTTCCGTAGAGCGTATTTGGCGCATGCGCTGTTTTCAAGTCTGTGTCAGCCTCAGGGGGATGGATAGCTGTTCGTGTGCATCGCCAGCAAGCGAATAAAGTTCGATTTAGATAGTGCATGCCTCCATGGATAGAGACACACGACGTGCCCATTCGTGGCCCGGTAAGAATTCCGTTAGGGCATCCTACGCAGCACATTCAATATTTGCAATGAATTCCTTTTTATTTTCTTGAACTATTAAAAAATATAAGTATTAGTAGCCAAATTCCAGTGAGCTTAAATAGTCCCGGATGTGGGTTTAATTGAATTCTTCATTGGCCATAATGTAACCTAGACTGTTTACCGTAGGCCTACTCGAGCGAATAAGCGCCCGGACGCTTAAAATATTTTTTGCACTTTCTGAGGGGCGCTTATTCAAACGG